TGGGACTCTGTGCGTGGTGGGGGTGGGGGTGGGGACAGTCTGGCAGTTGCTCAAAATGTTCATCACAGACCCTCCAGCTCACTGCCACCAAGTTGATACAGTGACCCCACAGGACAGAGCTGCCCCTGTGGGTTTCTGAGCCTCTAACAATGGGAGCAGAGAGCCACATCTTTCTCCCATAAAACAGCTGGTGGTTCTGAACTGCTGACCACTGTGCCACCAGGGCGCCGCTAGCCTTCCCATGCAAGCCAGCAATTCCACTCCCAGCGGGGTGTGAGACAGGAAAACAAGACCACAGACAGGTTCCCCCAATAACCAGCTGTTGTGTTCCTAGGAAAGCTTTTATAAGCGGAAATGATGTAAAGCGGAGAAGCTGTTAGATCTCTCTGTAGCTAGATATATACCTCGGTCCTTGGCTCCGCACAAGAAAGAATTCACGCCGAAGCCTGGCTCGTGATCCAAGTGAGTTTTATGAAAGTTAGAAGAAGTTTCAGGTTTACACGGCACCCAAGGGACTCCTCCCCAGCATGCGGCCTGGCTGGAAACAGCTCGCCCGCAAGAGTGTCCCAAAGTCCTGCCAAAGCTCTCTGCGCCTAAATTCTCTCTCTTTCCCCTTTGACTCCGGGCTTCTGCCTTTTCAAGGATTCCATGGGGAGGCATGGTGGAAGACCCTTGATCGACTCCATTGGCTGAATTGAATTCACCTGGCCTAGGTGGGCCAATTCAAGTTCACGCCCACCCCTGCCTACCGGCTTGGGAACCCTGAGCATGTGCAGTGCACCACTCCTTTGTTCCCCTAGCTTGGCCCTCTGGGCATGTCTTAACGGACATTCCCCACCCTACGCTAGTCTACCTAACAAAGCAATCATTGTTTGTTTATACGGGACAAGGTTTTAAGTGTTCCTAGATGCAAAAAGGGGCCTACCAACTCATCCCCCAAATCCTTATGACCCCTCAGGTAAGGCTAAGGCACAGGGCTCTGGTGGCTTGAGGTTGAGGTGCTGTGAGCAGCTCTGAGGGAGCAGCTGGCGATGGGGCCGGCTGCCTTCGAACGGCTCCCTGCAAAACAAACGCTGCATGCTAGTTTCACTTTGTGCCTTTTTTCATACAAGTGAAGATACTCCCTGGATTCCTTTTGGTCAATGAAAGCAGGAACCAATGTAGGCCTTGAGTGAGAGCGAAGGGGTGCGAAGCCACCTTTCCAAAAGCAGAGCGGCAGAATTAGTCATAATAACCCAGAAGGGTAAGGGAGCCACCACCCACAGATGAAGGGATCAACGACGGACTAGTCAGCCGTTAAGAGGAGCGAGGGTCCTTGGTCCATGCGATCACATGATGATCATATGAAGGAGCTGCAAACATTCATGGGAAAACTCTGCTCTCTTCATTCTGTTTTTCCATGGACTTCTTGTAGCTTTCTGTAGCGGTGTGTCGCGATTAAATGAGTGCTTTGTGACTGACCACAGGAAGTGCACAACTAAGGTTAGCGATTGTTCTGTTTGTGTCTGTACAGGAAGGAGCCCTGGTGGGAGCTGCTGTCAGGTTGGCCGTTTGAACCCACCAGCAGCTCCACAGGAGAAAGTTGATGCCGTTGGTTTCTGTACAAGGACCACAGTCTCGGGACCAGCTTCTTCCCCGGCAGTGGGCTTGCGTGACAGTGGCTCTGGGGCATGTGGGGGAGCAGTGGTTCAGTGCTCGGCTGCTGGCTAGAAGGTCAGCAGTTCATTCCAGAAAGCCTGGCAATGTGCTTCTATGAAGATGCCCACACAGGACACCGTATGGCGCAGTTCTGCTGTGCCAGGGTCACTGTGAGTCAGCATCACACAACAGCAATGTGGGGGGGACGGTGTGGGGGGTGGATAGAGATCAAAAGGCCCTAGGAACACACACACACACACACCCCTTTCATGCTGTAGCAGGGCTGTACCAGTAGATTAGAGAAAGTCTTGTGAGGCTTCCCCAACTGCAGACAGTAAGGAAGCACCACTCCTTCCTGGCTTGGACAGACCAAAACTAGCACGAGAGGTTCAACTGGTTGAAGTAAAACCAGGCCAGTGCTACGTCCTTACTGGGCAGGCACGCACCCTCAGTCCACTGGGGTCATTTTTACTCCGGCGGCGGCAGCAGGTTTACCTTCACACACACACTGGACTTTTAACTCGAGAGGAGTGGGAGGCCAGAGAAGAGGCCTGCGCTTCATTCACCTGCAGGGCCCGAGCGGAGGGACTTGGCCGCGTGCCTGAACATACCGTGCCTGAACGTACCGCTGGAGTGCTCCTTGTGGACACTTAAGACCAGGTGAGAAAGGGAAAGAAACCATCTGAAACCATAATTAACTTTTATTTCTGCTTACAAAATAAATACACCTGAGTTGTTAGCTGTTGTGCCACCTCCTTCACAACTGCGATCATTAGTTGTGGTGTAGTTCCACTCAGAAGTTGCAGTTTAGGGTTAAAACCGTCCTTTGGAAGCCCAGGCTTGCAGGACGGTCTGCTCAGGGACCTCACTCGTCACAGAATAGCACCCACTGCCTACTCAGGCCCTGCTTCTCCGAAGGTGGTGGCCAGCCCGTCCCACCTACCCAGATGCAGTTTTGATGGGTTTGCCTTCTAAGGCATCAAACATGTCGTGCAGGGACTTCCCCAAGCAGCGGAGGAACTCCCGGGGGTTCCGGCCTGGGTAGGAGGAGATGCAGCAGCCGACCCAGGTGTCGTGAACCGAGTATGCGATGCCAAAGCCGTCCGGGACCACTGGGCCAAAGCCACCCATGTTCACTGCTGGGCTGGAGAGCGTGCTGGTGGACAGGATGTTGTGGTTCATCACCCCGTACGCAGGGTCCAGGTAGAGTTCGGGCAGCGGGACCCCTCTGGATGCTGCCAGGTTCCGCAGGGCGAATAAGTGTCGATCAAAGCCCTGGCCTGTTGGAGACAAGATGGCAAGGCAGAGTCTCAGAGCCGGTCACCTGTCACACCTCCCCTCCAGAGCAGGGACCCCTCCACTGGCACCCCTCCAGTTCACTCGCCCGGGAGCAGTTCATTCGAAAGAACACGAGGGGTCACCAAAAGGTGTGTGGGAAAGTGGAGTTGGGGGATAGGCACCAGGGGGGGTTGGCTGACCTTTGAGTGGGGAAGACAATAGAGCCTGTTTGCCGTCAGCTTTCTGTGCACAGAGAGCAGCCACGTGCCTGTAGGCGGCAGCTTTCAAGCAGCACTGTTATGGGGAGACTGTGGGAACCTGGGTAGGCATTGGGCAGCTGATCTACCGCAAGGTCAGCAGTTCTAAACCACCGGCCGAGAAGGATGAGGCTTTCAATTCCTGTAAAGAGTGACCGTCTCAGAACCCCCCTGGGGGCTGTTCCACCCTGTCCTATAGGGTCACCACAAGTTGGCATCCACTCAAGGGCAGCATGGGTGGAAAGAGGACTTCTTGGGGAGGTGGGAAGTGGCTTCAACCTGGGGAAGGGGTAGGGCTCGGGCGGCCCCAATGAGGGCGTGCTCTGCCGCCCAACCTCACCCATGGCTGCTTCTTTGGTCAGTTGGCTGTGGTGCTTGGAGCATTTGGCCATCAGCTGCTGCAGCTCCGCGGCGCTGTGTCGGGAGGGCTCCCAGACGAAGGCCTCCGAGCACCGCTTGGTGAAGACCGAGGCCGGGCGGACGGTCTCGGTGCGGCCGTGCTTGAAGGCGGCCGTGCTGCAGGACTCGTAGGTGGCCACGGTCTGCCCGTACTGCCGCAGGAAGGCCATCTGGAAGGCCAGCTGGGCCACCGCGTCAGGGCTCAGGTGCTGCCGCTTCAGGAACTCCTTCCCGCCTCTATCGAACTGGGCGCATGCCACGGTGAGGCTGCCCGTGGTCTCGTCAAACTTCCTCTTGGCCTTGGAGACGGCAGCCTTCAGGGCGTCGCTGAGCTGGAAGCGGAGCTTCTGCACAGCAGCGGGGTCCGCGGCGGCCGCCGGCGGGCTCTGCGGCGAGACGGCCGGGTGCTGCGTGCTGTCCTTGAAGACTTCGTTCAAGAACCGCAGCATGGCGACGCCGTCGCCCCACGAGTGCTCGAAGTGCACGGCGGCACAGCCGTCCTGGGCCAGGACAAGGTTGAAGGACTTGTCGAACCAGCGGCTGGCGCCGTCGCCGTGCAGCATGGTGTGGGACAGGTGGACGCGGTCCTGGATGGGGAAGTCGTCCAGGCAGAGGCAGAACACGGCCGAGTCCACCTTGCGCAGGGCCTCGCCGTTGCCCTCGCTCACCAGCTGCCGCCGGAGCTCGGCCCAGACGTCGCGGTTCTCGCTGGTCAGGTAGGCCAGAGGGTACTCGGGGGCAGGGCTGCGGTCGGCCAGGATGGCCTTCAGGTGAGCCTTGATCTCCGAGGCGGCCACGATGTTCCCATCGCGGTCCAGGACGTCGAAGACATAGAAATGCCCCTTCCGGAGGACCAGCAGGTGCCTGGCCTGCCCGTCGGTGAAGAGCTCATCCCGGCCGGGTTTGGGTATGCGGGTGGAATTGAAGAGCCGGAAGTACTGAGACATGTCCAGGGGATAGGCGCTGACCAGGTAGGCCCCGTACCAGGCCAGAAAGGAAGGCACAAAGCGTATCAGTCTCCGGAAGGTCTTCGTGTCACTTTTGGCAGGGTTCAGGTGGAACACTTCCGGCTCCAGCAGGCTGGCCCGCAGCGTCTTCAGAAAGCGGACGGCAGACACCGTCAAGTTGGTCGCCCGCGTGAGCTGGTCGTTGTACTCGGGCTTGGGGTCGGGGTTGAACGCCATGAATGGATTGAAGTTCAGGACAATGGAATCTCGACTAGCTAAGTACATGTCAAACCAGGGCCCTGAAACACAAAAGCGGGTGGGGAGAGGGGAGGACAGTGTCAAAAATGAATGTACAGCCTTCTGGCAAGGCGACGGCCTGGACAGAGAGCGAGCAGTGAGCGAACTCCCCCAGACTCTCCACACCTCCTGATGGGATGAGAGGGGACTTAAACGTAAGCCCAGAATTAGAAATATCACCAATGTAAGAAATAGGGACAAAGTCAGGGTCCCTGATACATAACACTAAACATACATGCCATAAACACTATCCAGCGTAACAAAAACTGCACACACAGGAGAGGGCAGAATCAATGCCTGGGACCTCCTAAAAATAAGACAGCCAAAGATTTTTAACAAAAGCGTATGGAGAGGACTCAGAGAGGGGAAAGCTTTCCAGCGATGACATTTCTGACGAGGGCCTTGCCTCTGAAATCCACAGAAAACGTCAACACCTCAAGAAGGAAGAGACGGATAGCCCAGTGGCAGAATGCGCAGGACACGGACCGTTCACTGCAGAAGACATCCCGGCAGCCCACAGACGTGAGGAGACATATTCGTCACTGCTGAGCTAGCCCCTCACACTAGAACTGACAACCAAGTTCAGAAAAGCAGGAACAGATGCCGGAGAGCAGGTAGAGAAACAGAACCCCCCACACTGTTGGGAGGACGGTAGGATCCTGCCACCAACGTGGACATCCGTGTGGCGCTGCCTCCCACACCTGGGAACAGCGCCACAGTCCACGTGGCGGGGGGAAATGCTGAAGAAAGCCGCAGACAGACAGATGCACACCCGTGTGCACCGCAGCACAGTTCCTAATAGCAAGAAGATGGAAACAACCAGAATGCCCACTGATAGAAGATCTGGAAGTCCACGCACGCGTGGAATGCCATGCGACATTGAAGGATGATGATGGCCTAGGAAGCCACACGCCATGCCATGGGTTTGAGAAAACCAGGCGAAGTGAAGTCGGCCAATCACAAAAGAACAAACATTAGTAGGAGGCCACTGTTACTGGCTTTACGGCCGAGGAAACCTTTTCTTGTCAAAAGAAACACGCTGCTGGTTTAGCAGAGGTAGGAGGGGAGGGGAGGGGAAGGGAAGTCACTAGCTAGGGAGTGCGGCAGGTATTCCCTTGGGTAAAGGGGTCAAATAATATTCTAAAAAATGGATACGGGGTGGGGGAGGGAAACGGGGCAAAGGATGAGGCTGGATTAAGTTGCTAAATGCAAAAAAGTATGATGTGATCTGTAAACCAGACCTCATTCACAATAAAAACATCTTTACTTGTATCAGGACAGGTGTCACGAGAGTTCTGGATCCTTGAGCCCAAACCTGGAGCCAGCTGTGTTTGGAATTCAGGACTTTGGGGATTTTAGGAAGTCCACATGTGGGAAGCCAGCATCTCAGGAAGGAGACCCGTCTACAGGGATAATACCTGGCACAAGGCATAGCCGCCTCCACCTAAGACCAGAAGACTCTCTTTCAGCAAAATAACAGATTGGTTCACAAAAGAGATTGCCTGTGAGTACAGTCAAAACAAAAGCTAATGCACAGCGGCAGGCAGGCAGGCGGGAAGGAGAGGGACAAGAAACAAGGATCAGGGGGCCTGGAGCTTCCGTTGGGGTGAAGAAAAACCCGAGCATGTTAATGCTGAGGGCGAAGGGAAATGTGGGCATGTTCGTGGTGCTGGTTGGACAGAAGATGCACACGGTGACTGTTCCCAAACCACAGAGGTGGGCGAAGGCCACTGGACGGACAGACACACTGCCACGTAAGCAGTCGCCCCGATGCAGAGAACGGTCTATACGGTCCTTACAGATAATCGGTGGGAAAGCAAACCAACAAGCCTAGTTTGAGGTCAAGACTAATGCCAATGTTTTAACAAAACTTCGGTGGCCACCTCCCTGAAATCACTGAAGCTTTCCAACAAGTTATGGGAATGCTGCTCCATCTAAAACAGTGGTTCTCAACCTTCCTCGTGCCACCACCCTTTCATACAGTTCCTCATGTTGTGATGACCCCCCACCCATACAATTATTTTCTTTTTACTTCATCACTGCCATTTTGCTACTGTTATGAATCACAATGTAAACATCTGATATGCAGGATGTCTTTTCATTGTTACAAGTTGAATCACATTAAAGCATAGTGATTCATCACAAAAACATGTAATTATAGATTGCTAAATATTATTTCTGACAAATAAATGAAATTTTGTCTAGAAGCATGGTGTAGCTGGGTAACAGTCTTCACTCTGGGTAGTCTTCGGTGGGCATATCTGCATGTGGGCAGATTCGCCTGGAGATGGGTAGAGGTTTCTAACACCATTGGAAATATGGTCTTAGGTGACCCTTGTGAAAGGGTCGTGTGACTCCCAAAGGGGTCATGCCCCACAGGTTGAGAACCGCTGCTTTAGATGGAGCAAGTGGTTTAAGGTAGGTTGGGAAGACCTGAGATGAATTCAAAGCAGAGAGGAGTCGTAAGCTCAGGTGAGGGTGTGGGGATTCCAAATGGGGAAACTCGATGGAATTTCTCAAAGGACACAAGATGATCAGGGGAGCTGCTTAGGAGAAAGTTTTGAGCAAACTGGAAACTATACTGATGAGAAAAAGGCCAGGGAATGTTTTTTCCAACATGACAATCCTGCTCATTCTCCAAGGGACACAAAGGACGTCCTAGAAACATTTTGCATGGAAAGCTTGCCCTCTGGCCCTGCAGCCCGGACCTTGCCCCTCCACACTTCTTTTTGTTTTCAAACTCAGAGAACACTTAAAAGGAACAAACTGAGCCCTTTAAGGTGTCCAAAGGGCCTTTTGGATGTGGCATAAGTCAGAGCGTAGAATTCTGGAGGAAGAATTAGAGAGATGGAAATATCACCTTCAAAAGTGTAGAGACCTAGATGGGGGTATGTCAAGAAATAACAGCTCCACGTTTTGATGTTTTTAATAAATGTGCCTGAATTTGTAGCGTTTGCTTTCATAAATCATGACATATACATGGGATCCTATAATATATAATATTTTACACTCGTCCTCTTTCACATAAGGGTTTTGTTTGTTCATGCCGTGTCATGTGTCAGTTCCTCATTCCTTCTGTTGTTGAGTAAGATTCCATTGTAGGATATCACTTGATGGGCATGTAGGCACCCCTTTTTTTAAAAAAAATCACTTTGGGGGGACTCTTCCAGCTCTTATAACAACCCGTCCATCCATGGTGTCAGGCACATTTGTACATATGTTGCCATCATCATTCTCAAAACATGTTCTACTTGATTCCTTGGTATCAGCTCATTTTTCCCTCCCTTACCCACTCTCCCTCCCTCATGAACCCTTGATAATTTATAAATTATCATTATTTTCATATCTTACATCATCTGCTGGCTCCCTTCACTCATGTTTCTCTTGTTCATCACCCTGGGTGGGAGTGGGGGTGAGGTTTTATGACGATCATTGGGATCAGTTCCCCTGTTCGCCCCCACCTGCCCCTACCCTCATGGTATGGCAGCTCCCCTTGTTCCTGAGGGGCTTACCTGTCTTGGATTGTGTGTGTCAAGAGCTCTTATCTGCACCAGTGTACGTGCTCTGGTCTGCCCGGATTTGTAAGGTAGAATTGAGATCATGACAGTGGTAGGGAGGAAGCATTAAAGAACTAGAGCAATGTTGTTTCATCAGTGCTATCTATCCTGCACCCTGGATGGCTCGTCTCTTCCTTGTGACCCTTCTGTGAAGGGATGTCCAATTGTCTACAGCTGAGCTTTGGGTCTCCACTCTGAGCCCCTCGTTCGCATCGATATGATTGTTTGTTTTGAGTCTTCTGATAGGTACCTCTTTTTGGTGATTATGACGAATGTTGCTATGAATATTCACGTACAAGTGTATGTGTTGATGTAGGTTTTTGACTCTCTTAGGTAGGAGTGGCATCACTGGTTAATCCATGGCAGGGAAACGCCCTTGCCCTCATACTGTGTGCCAGGTACATTCGCTCAAAAAGCACTTAGATATAACTCCTCAGCCACAACCCTCTGCAAGCCTGTGGCTGTTCTGTCTGAAAAGCTTCATGTGCAATTAGGAGAAAAGTTATTTTATCAGCAAACATGTCTTCCCAGAAAGCTTCTCCTGGGATTCACCAGCACGAATAACCAGAAATCCAAGCACCTTGCTACTGAGTCGACTGCCACTCATAAGGACCCTGGGAGGGCCTTGGGCTGCCCAAGACCCTCATCGTCAAGGGAGCCGCTGCATCTCTCAGCTGCTTGTGGGCTTGAAGGGTGGCCTTTTCAGTCTGCTACCCATTGCAAACCTGGAACCGAGCCAGCTGCCAAAGATCACCCTTCAGCCAAACAATAACCAGGCCTGCCAGGAAGTTAATGATTAACACCTTCTCGGAACATCAACCCGATGAGACCACAAGGGCAGCATTTGCCTGGAAACCAAGTTCAGAAGGCAGGACAGGGCAGAAGCCATGGGAGTGGGGGGGGGTGGGGTGAGAGTAGGGAGCCAGGGACCAGTGGGAAGAGTGTTGTCACACTGAGGGCATCCCAACTAATGTCACCAATCAAATCAAGGATAAACTGTTGAACGGGGAACTCATTCTCTGTGTAAACTTTCCCTCAAACCAAAATAAAATGCACCCCTGCCCCCCACCCCCCACCCCCGTGTGATCACAAGGTGCCGAAGGGATCAGTTCTCTGGCGTCAAAGGACAAAAAAATCATATCATTGTGTGCTCACCTCCATGATAATGATCTCGCTGAAGACAAAGGGTTGCATAAGCAAATGTGGCGAAGAAAGCTGATGGTGCCCGGCTATCAAAAGGTATAGCGTCTGGGGTCTTAAAGGCTTGAAGGTAAACAAGCAGCCATCTAGCTCAGAAGCAACAAAGCCCACATAGAAGAAG